AAATTACTTACAATTGTGTCAGCTTGACAATGAAGATCAGAACCTTAAAAGTGCAATAAACATGATCATAATTATATAATTATAATAAGAATAACGGGAATTTGGCTTCAAGTCATAACGGATAGTTGTTATTATACTTGCCTACATCGATAAGCTTCTATAAATCTGGATGGAAGTTTTTAAGGCGACAGTTCCAACATTAGACAGCAGGCAATAGAGGGTTGCCATCACAGAGAAGAGGGAAGAGGAAAAGAGGGTTTGCCCCAGGTCTCTGCCTTGGAACGGCTTCTACACTGTAGCATAAGAGCATGGAACCCAAACAGAGTAAGTGGTCTCAATGAGGTGGGGAGGCAGAGAGCAGGGTTCAGGGCTGTGGAAGTGGTTGATCTTTGTAGGACGAAGCCACTGTAGAGAAGGAGGCTTTGCAGAAAAATTGCTCCCGATATTGCACGGGGGTCAAACACTGAACAGCAGATACATATAGAACCTCCATGAAGCCTGACAGAGAGCAGGAATGGAGGTCCTTGCAGCCACAAAGTCTTGGGGGGACATATGAATCCTGACCAACCAGAATGGGGATACCTTCCTAAGCCCCCTGGAAATACACTTGGCACCCCAAGGGGGGAGAGGGTCACACCTCAAGAGGGAAGTCACCTCTGTCCCGGAGTAAGAACCACTCTATGGCTGCCTTAACAAAGTTCAACAAGCCTCCAAGGGATCTGGCTGATTTGCCAATAAGTTAACTGCCTTTTAGAGAAAAATAGCACAGTGCTCTATAAATAAAGGCAGAAAGAAAGAAAGAAAGAAAGAAAGAAAGAAAGAAAGAAAGAAAGAAAGAAAGAGGGAAGGAAATCTAGACCCTCAACAATGTACATTTTCGTGCACTGAAAAAGTACTAGATGCAGAGAGAATGGGAAAATATCACCCAACATGTAGCAAAGAAGTGGGCAATGGAATCCTTGAAGTAACATAGATGCTGGAAATTTCAGACAAGGAACTTTTTAAGATTTATTTATTTATTCGTGAGAGACACAGACTGAGAAAGAGAGGCAGAGACACAAGCAGAGGGAGAAGCAGCTCCTCGAAGTGAGCCCGATGAGGGACTCGATCCCGGAATTCCGGGATCACGACCTGAGGCAGGTGCCCAACCGCTGAGCCACCCGGGCATCCCAAAACAAGGAATTTTAAGTGATTATTAAAAAATATTAGAGGAAAACGTGTTTATAATTTGATCAATTGACAGAAGTGATTAACTCACTGCAGTCAAAAGGGGGAAAGGCACAAATTATATCAATGACGAAAAAGAGAATATCTCTATAAATACAATAGACATTAAAATAATACAATATCATAAATAAGTACAAGCCAATAAATTCTACAAGCAGATGAAATTATTTGAAAAATTCAAACTTACCAAACTGGTTCAAGATGAAATTAGAAATGCGAAGAAATTGAATCACTTATCAAAAACATTCCCTCCAAAAAAACTCTAGACCCAGATTCCTTTCCTGGTGAACTCTGTCAAACATCTAAGGAGAAAAAAAAAATAGTGCCAACTTTACAGAAACTTTTTTAGAAAATAAGAGGCACTCATTTTCTAAACTCAACTCATTACGTGAAGCTAGCAAAAACCTGACACCAAATTCTGACAAAGAATGACAAAACAATATTTTTAAGACCATAGATGGAAAAACTCCTTTTCAAAATATTAACAAATCAAATCCAGATATATCTGCATAGCTTTGTGTGTGTGTGTGTGTGTGTGTGTGTGTGTATCCACCTGTAGTGGTAACGCATTACGACCAAGTAGGTTTCTCACAGGAGAATTATTAGCAGAATAATGAAGAATAATCATTTGACCATATAAATAGATGCTGAGAAAATTTTTGACAAAATCCACTACTTGTTCAAAATGAGTCTTCCTTTTATCAAACTGATAAAAGGAGAGGGTTCTCAACCTGCTGGAGGCTATCAACAAAGAATGCAACAAACATCATGTTTAATGGTTAATACTGAACACTTTCCTCCTAAGGTTGAGAATAAGGCATGATGTTTTCTGTCACCACTTTCCTTCAGCATTGGATTGGAGGTCTCAACCAGTGTGAGACAAGCCAAAAAAAGAAAAGAAAAAGAGAAAGAGAAAGAGAAAAATCCTAAATATTGTAAAGGAAGACATAAAATTATGACTATTTTCAGATGACATGGTTGTTTATATAAAAAACATTAAGGAATCAAAGAACAACAACTAGAACTAATTAGTGAAGTTAGTAAGACAAGATGCATGGTCAATATAAAACAAACCAAGGGGTACTTGGGTCGCTCAGTCCGTGAATTGTCTGTCTGCCTTTGGCCCAGGTCATGATTCCAGGGTTCTGGGGTCAAGCCCTATGATGGGCTCTCAGCTCAGCAGGGAACCTGCTTCTCTCTCTCCCTCTGTCCCTGCCCCACTGCTCATGCTCTCTCTCTTGCTCTTAAGCAAATAAATAAAGTATTTTTATTTTTTAAAACCAAGTGTTTTCGTCCTAGTTGCAAACAATGGAAAAATAAACTTCAGGAGACAGCATCATATACAATACTATCGATAACAGGAATAGATTCAGCAAAAGATGGTCAGTGAAGAACTACAAAACATCACAAAGGGAAATTAAAGAAAATACTAAAAATGGAAAGATTAATAATCATGTTTATGGGTTGGAAATTTCAATGCATCAAGATAGCAGTTTTCTCAACAAATAATGTTGGAACAACTGTATGATCATGTGAAAAGAAACGTACTTTACTAATACCTCATACCAGAAACAAAGGTCAATTTGAGATGGGTCATAGACCTAAGTATAAAAGCTATAATTAGAAATCTTCTGGAGGAAAACATAAAAACATCTTTGTGAGATTTTTCTTATGACCCAGAAAGCACTAACCAGCAATAAACATCTTTTGTGCCTGAGGATATGTGTCATACAGTTCAATAATTCACAAATGAGAAGAGAGCTTTCGATATCCCTAGGATCACACCCACGAACACACAATACAAGGTAAAAATCAGGATTGGGGGGGGTTGGGGGTGGAGACTGGGCAGTCTGCTCTGCCTGTGGTGGGGGATGGGTCAAATAAGTGGGTTGTAAATAAGATTTGGGAAAAATAAAATAAGATAAAATCAGAGACAAACCATAAGAGACCCTTAACTCTAGGAGATAAACTGAGGTTTCTGGAGGAGAAATGGAGGGGGTAAAGTAACTGGGTGATGGGCATTAAGGAGGGCATGTGATGGAATGCGCACTGGGTGTTATATGCAACTGATGAATCACTAAATTCTACCTCTGAAACTAATAATACACTATATGTTAATCAATTGAATTTAAACAAAATAAAAATTTGAGAGCCATATGAGTCATCCTGGAGGAGGAGTACTGGTTCATGCCATCAAGGTCTTTCTGGATTGTCCAGAAATGGGAGCATCTTTTTCAATTCTATGCCCATCCAATTACATGTCTCCTCCGTTCCTTCCTCTGATAATGGTCGCTCACTCCTCCTTGGGCATAAAATCTGCTCCTAGGACAAGGTATGCTTCTCCTGTCCTTGCCAGGCATCTACAGACTTGTACTGTAGGCCTCCACCAGACCTCAACAGACAGACCCTGATAATAGTTGATACCTCCCAAATCTCTCTTCCACTCCAGTGACTTCCTACAGCAGGGGGCAGCAAAACAGCATGTTTTCTTTAAGAACTGCAAAGTAGGGCCATGTTTTTCCAATTAAGGGCAAACTCAGAGATGACAATCTTTCTTAAAATTATCCTGTTTGTATTAATCAAGCCCCTGGATAAGCAATTTACTGGAAAAAAAAATCCAAGTCTCTACTGGTAGGACTAATGAACAATTCTGTCCAGAAAGAGAAAAAGGGAGAGAACACTGGAATGTCATATAGAAGGTGTACACTGGCTATAAAAATGTGCCAGAACAAAGGAGTGAGTGTGCAAAATAAGAGGAGAGAGAGAAAATAGTGAGAAATGAACAAGAGAAGCCATGAGTTGGTAATTACTGAAGCCAGGTTATGTAGGGACGTGGAAGCTCATTATATTATTATATATCTTCTTTATATATGCTGGAAATTTTCCCAATCGAAAGAGAAATTATTAAGAAGACTTTCCCAGTGAGATATATGGCCAGATTTATTAGTGTAGGAGGCTATGGTATATTCATGGATGAGGAAAAGTCAGGAAAAGCACAGACCTGGAGGGCAAAGAAGACTGACTTATGACACCAGTGTTTCTCACTGTCTTTGCTGTTGTGCTGTATTTATACTTTGTTGCATTGAAATACTGAAGATTTTCCTCCTAAAGTCAGCAACAATCTGTGTTATGCTAAAATCACCTCTTTAATGAACTATTTTCAGTTCATTCAAAATAAAAGAGAAGATATTAAGTATTTCTTTGAAATACACGCCCGCATTAAGAGAATACCTTCCTACAATTAGCCCATATTTTCAGTAAAGGTATGTGCCCAGGAAACATTGACCAGAAAAGCAGCATCCATCAAAGAACAGTGGAAATTTAGAACAAAGGTAGCCATGCTGGTCCCCAGGAAAAGGCAAAACAAAACAAAACTTTCAAACTTTATGGTGAATATTTTCAAATAGCGTAGCTTACCTAGACCCGGATTAGACAAAAATGAATAAATGCAGAAAAAAAAAAGAAATGTTACAGTCACAACATTCCACTGGGACTAGCTTCCCTTTCTTTGAGATGATTCTGAATTTACTCCATAGCTTATTCATCTGGGGTGGGGGTGTGCCCTGGAGCACCTGTAATAGGTGAGGCGTGGGAAGGGGAAGAGAGACTACCACCCAGTGGGTGGCAGAGAAGAACCAGGGAGAGAAGACGAGCAAGTTAAAGAGTTTCTGCCCATTTGGTAGGACGCATAGTAAACCAAGGCACCACCTTCCTGAGTAATAAGTGAGTGAAGGTTAGGCTCCGGGGGGACAGAGGTGTGGGTGTATCTTTCTCAGAGGCCAAGTAAGCTGTGAGGGACATCGCTGACTGAATTTTTCCCATTTCCTATATCCATGCCCCGATTCCCCAACACTCAGAGTTGGAAACACCTCCATCCTGCCTCTCCCTACCATGGGCTTCTTGCTCCTCTGCTGTGTGGCCTTTTGTCTCTTGGGAACAGGTGAGTTTGGGAAGCCTGGGGAAACCCTGCCTTACATTTTCCTGCTCTTGGTTGAAGCTTCTCCCCTCAGCCTGTAGCTGGAGGACCCTTCCTGGGCTCTGTCTCCAGTTTCTGTCTTGTTTCCCCCACAGGTTCCATGGATGCTGGCATTACCCAGACCCCCCAGAATGGGATTATAAAGAAAGGAAAGAACATTTCACTGGAGTGTTCTCAGACTAAGGGTCATAACTATATGTACTGGTATCGACAAGACCCGGGAATGGGGCTACGGCTGATCTCCTACTCCTTTGGTGTCATTTATATTAATGAAGGAGAGGTCTCCAATGGGTACAGTGCCTCTCGAACGGACCTGGAGAAATTCTCCCTGTCTGTAGGGACTGCCATTCCCAACCAGACAGCTCTCTACTTCTGTGCCAGCAGTGATTCACACAGTGCTTATTGGTCACCTGCTCCCCATACAGAAAGCAGGCACATTTGCTCGGACCACACAGAAGTCTTCCTCCATGTGGGACATGGGGACCTAGAGGGGTCTGAGTAGTTCTACACCGTGTGAGCCTCAATCTGAGCTGTGGCCATGTTGGGTCAATGTCCCCAGGCCATACGGTGATGGAAACCACAGGCTGGACTGAACCTATCTCCCCTGCCGACTGACCCTCCTTCTCTATTCTAGTGGGGCTAGCTCAGTAGTGTCCTTCTAGGAGAATGAACCTGATATTTGCCAAGACCACCATGGTTTTCAGTAAGAGCATTTCTTATGAGCTCCAACAGGATGTGGCTTGTCATCGTTCTTTTGCCTCTTCTTTGCCCACTTTGCAACATGTTCCACTCCATTCTGTTCCTTCTGATGGTCCCTTTATCCTGCTGTCCCCTTCTCAGTCCTGGTTCCTCCAAGCGCTGGGCACTGTTCAACTCTGTATTTGGGTGCTTTTATACCAGGCACAAACTGACCACCTTGTTTTCTAAAACTTCACGCTAAGTAAATTTAATTACTATTTAAATCTGACTCAGAAAGTGAAGTGTGTCAAGTACTAGAGACTGTGATCTATAAAAGATATCTTTCATCTACTGCCCCACACTCGGATCTCTGCTGAGAATAATCTTAACCTGTGGGAGCAGAGAGACTATGTCATTATCTAGATGTACTGGATTCCAAAAAAAAATTGCCTGCTCCCCAGCATGGAGCCAAAGCTCAGAGCTTGGAGATTCCTTTTCTCTCAAGGTTTTGGAATAAGCCCCCTGCTCCTCTGCAGGGGGGACCCTCCTGGGAGCCAGTGAACTCCAGGCACAAAAATACTCAATCAAGGGCTGCTATAGCCTGATGTAAAACCTGCCTAAGAAATAAATTGAAGACTTTCTGATGTGCTTTGTCTTCATACCCCATGAGCCTCAATTATTTCAACAAAAGAATCCCCGACTTGGTGACAGTTCACCCAGAGAATGCAACTTATTTCATTTTCTACCTGTTCTGATCTGAAAAGAATGTCACGCTTTTTTAAAAAAAATCTCCTGTATGAGTTCTATCTCATCTGTTTTCCCTTTAAAAAGTCAGTTTTCAAAATTTAAAAAAAAATTAAAAAAAATTAAAAGTCAGTTTTCTAGAATTTTGTTCCCTGCTTTCCATATACACTTCACCAAAATCTCATCTATAATAATAATTCTCTCATACGCTATTAACTATTCCCTTTAATTATTTTCTAGCCATTTCCAGTAGATTTTCATAGGACTTTCCTTCTGCCTTCTTTTTTCCCTTAGTATAAATATCCTTCCTTAACCTTCCCATTTGTGATCATGACAATTTCTTTCATAAGCTCCAAACTAGTGGACTTACCAGTCTCCTGGACACCTCCAGCTGGATGCTCCACAGTTCAAACTCAAGTAATTTATTGCTGGATTTCTCATCCCCTAACATTGTAGGCACCCATTCTGGCTTCATACATTATATTGCTTCTCAATGACTGGAACCATCATTCTAGATTCCTCTTTCCATAAGCCCTCACATTAAGTCCATTTACAAATCTGTGATTTCCATAATCCATATTATCATGGATTTGGTTTTCTAGAAAGCAGACTTTGCAGGGGAGGTTAATGTTCAGTGGGCCATTAGAAAGTGTTATTGTGGAAAGAAAGAAGGAGGATAGGCTGAGGATAAAGCTGGGCTGTCCTGCAGCCTTGACAAAAGTCTTAACTGAGCCACAAGGAGCCTTGAAGCCTTGATGGCCATTAGAAACTCCTGAAGTTGAGGCGAGGGGGCCAGGTCTTGTACCCACTTTCCCTGCAACAGTGTCAGTGTGCATGGGTCGCCCTAAGAAAGGGCATGTCTTTAGGTGGTGGGGAGGGCAGGGAGGTGTCTCTCTGGCCAAGGCAATCCACAAAGAGGGCTGTTAGCCAGCAGCACTCGTAGCAGAGAGAAACTGTCCTTCAGAGCTGAAGGGAGATAGGACACATCACAGGGCACACATAGCTAATACATGTGTTCATCTGATTCAGCTACTGCTTTCCTTCCTTGTTGCTTCTACTTCAGTGCAGACCCTCAGCATCCATTCTCCAGACAAAAATGCAATCCCTTCTCACTGGCCCACTAGCCTCTTACTTCATCGGCTTTACTCGGTCTTCAACATCATCACTAGCCGGAATGCATCTGGCGTTCTTCACATGGCATGCAAGGCCCTTCATGAACGAATCTCTATCTAAAAATGCAGCCAAGTTTCCATGTTCCCTTCAGCCCTTTAGACTCTAGCTCAGCTGAACACTTTATATTTCCCTGAAGAGGCCAAGCCAAGTTTTACGACTATACCTCTAGTTGTCATATATAAAATACATAAAGGTGATCCTTAAGTGCAAGTGTTCTTTCTCATTCTAAATCGGCACTTACTTCTTCACTACCCGGCTTACTCTTGCACAGACTTTAATTCTTAGCTAAGAGATTAGCTTATCTGCAAAGGGTTTTGTGGGGTGCCTCGGTGGCTCAGTCGGTTAAACATCTGCCTTTGGCTCAGGCTGTGAACCTGGAGTCCTGGAATCAGAGAGTCTGCTCCTCCCTATACCCTTTCCCCCTTTCCCTCCTCACCTCTCATGCTCTCTCTTGCTCTTTCAAATAAATAGAGTCTAAAAATAAATAAATAAAATTAATAAAGGCTCTTCTGACTCCCACAGACAGAAGACTCAGTTCTTATTCATTCCAAAGACTATAGTTATTGTATTCTTTTCTGACTCGTCTTGAGACTATATGTTCTTTAGTTTAAGAGTGATGCCCTCCAATTTTACATCCCTGGAACTAAGTATAACATCTGACTTAGTAAAGGAAAGATGGAAGAAAGGGAGGAAAGGAAAAATATGTCTTTCGAGTACTGAGCTTTTCTTCCAAGTAACATGTTTTCTGAGTTCTGGTGCATGTTTATTTAAGTCCTCCACAGCCCCCACCTACAAATCCTTTTAAAAGAAATATGTTTGGTGAAGCATAATTCTATAAGAAGACTAAGAACATTGGAAAATGAGAGACGATGTTTTACTGGATCAAAAGTGTGGAGACATATGTAACAATTATTTTTGATAATTGCTGTGTCCTTCATTGTTGACACTGAGAAATCCTCAGCACCTGCTCCAAACACTTCCCTAGCTATATTAGAAAGGTAGGTCACGCATGAGTCATTCCTGCCCTGGCAACAAGGGCTGGAGAGCTACTCCTGCCTTCAAGGACCCCTTTGTCCGAGCCTCTCATACCTCCTCCCAACCCAAGATCCACCCCTTGGGTTCTTCTCTCTTTCTTTAATCACTTCTACCATAGGAATCAGATTATACACCCAGTTACTGCTGAGGACTTTCATCAGCTCATCCATGATCCTTGAATATTCTCACACCTACAACAATTGGGGCCTCTCCCCTTCCTATTTCTTTAAACTTCAACAGAAAAACCCTTCCCAAATGCCTGTCTAGTCATCCTTTTCACAATTTTTTTTTCAGCAGGGGGCAGTAAAATTTCACTATTTTTTTTTCTTCCTTGATGCTACCTATTAAGGTAAGACCAGCTTTCAAAGTAAGAGCAAGGAATGAATGTCATTCAATTTTCTTGATTTGCCTTGTCTTAAAGAAGTCTTTAACAAGAGGAGAATATTTCAGGGTAATGGTAAGTCAAAACTGTTATATTCTTTTGGAACATATAAGAGAGCAAGAGTGAGCAGCAGCCTCTAGTTGTCATATATAAAATACATAAAGGTGATCCTTAAATAATGAAGCCAAAATAGTCAAATCCAAACCCCCAGGTCAGCAGTGGGTCAGCAAGAATTTGACCGAATGTCAACAGTGGATCCCAATGAACTAGGGCAAAGGGAGCTGATGGAGGGGGAAGGGATCTCAGGATTTATCTTTGTAACTCGTGACTAAAGCTAAAGACTTTTCTGTTGAGGAGAAGAGAGGAGAGAGAATGGTGCTTGGCTTGGAGGTAATTTACTGTAGCATCACCCAAAATATTTTAGTCAACGTTACCAAAGCATGTATTGGAAAAAATTATAGGTCTGAATTTTCTATTATGTCATGATACATGGTGCAGTTAAGAGAAAATGAACTTAATATAAAGGAGCCTCAATTCATAAAGTTAGTGAAATCCGAACCCTGAGTGGATGAGAAATCAGACTGAGAAAGTGGTGTAATTATACAATTAGAACAATAAATTTCTGAGAACTCAGCAAATGTCAGTTACTGCCCTAAGCCCTTCACATGTGTTACCTAAATGGGTTCCTTCTTTGTAAACCTCCCAATGTGGTCTCTCGTGCCTATCTGATTGAGCCACCCTGTTCACTGGGACCTCCTTTCTGAGCTCTTCTTTTGCAGTTTTGCAGAGGAATTAATTCTGATTCATCCTTCAGAACATCACATCCAACATCACTTCCATTCCTGACTTTCCCAAGTAGGTCAAACTTCCTATTACAGCCTTTCAAACCTCTGCAGCCATCACTTTCATAGCTTGCAGAACAGCTGCAATTTAATGTTTTGCAAAAATGTTAGAGACTTGAGTTAAGACAAATAAGCAAAGCATGTAGCCTACTTTGGATGAGAGAAGTAACCAAAAATATTAGTTCTTTGATGGGTAGAGGGATCTAGATGACACTGCTCTATACTAGGATGGCTGTGGGGCCCAGATAGTTTGCAGGGACTGTGTTGTCACACAATGACTTCATCAAGAGCCCAGCCCACTTCCCCAGAACTGGGAGACACCTTTCTGACTCAGCTGTGCCATGGCTTTCAGACTCCTCTACTATGTGTCCCTTTTCCTTCTGGAGACAGGTAAGTCATAGACATTGATTTCTCTAAAATTAAAAAGGAATATTTTCCCTTGTTCTGGTTTTGTACCTGGTTCCAGCATCAAGGTCTCTGTTGCTAACTTTTGTCTCCTTTTCTCAGGCCTCATGGATGGTAGTGTCTCCCAGACCCCAAGACACTGTATTTCAGGGACAGGAAAGAAGATTACCCTGGAATGTTCTCAAACTCTGGGCTATGACAACATGTACTGGTATCGACAAGACCCAGGAAAGGCACTACAGCTGCTCCATTATTCATATGGTGTTAATACCACAGAGAAAGCAGAGCTCTCCTCTGGATCAACTGTCTCCAGATTAAGGAAAGAGCTTTTCTCCCTAACCCTAGAGTCTACCAGCCTCTCACAGACATCCCTGTACCTCTGTGCCAGCAGTGAATACACAGTGCTACACAGGCACCTACAGCCTGCATAAAAAGGATAGTCACAAAGGTGAGGAAGCCCCACCCAATGTCATCTGAAACTACAAAAGCCACTGCAAATCTTCCCAGACTCCTCAGCCCTGAGAAGGCAGTGTGATCTGTCCAACCATCTGGGTGGAGAGTTGACCCTGGGCCAGTCTCTACCAAGCTGGGAAATGGCCCAGTCCACAATCAGAAACTGACTTCTCTCCTGCATCTTTGTTGAGTCTAACTAGGGGTTCATCGATTCTGTGGATTGTTTCAAGTAACCAACTTTTAGTTCCATGGATTTTCTCATCGTTTTTCTGTTTTCTATTTGGTTGACTCCAAATTTGATCTTTATGATTTCTTCTTTCTTCTTTTTTTGTTTACTTTCAGCTTCTCTTTACAGTTTCTTAAGGTAGAAATGTAGATTATAATGCAGGCCTTTGTTTTTTTCTCTAAAGTAGTCATTTAAAGCTATAAGTATCCCTGTAGTTCCTATTGCATTCCATGATTTAATATATTTCAGCCTTCATTCAATTAAAAATATAACTATCCTTGAGATTTCTTCAGTAATCTATGTAATCCATGATTCATTTAAGAGTATGTTGTCAAATTTACAAGTATTGGGGCATTTCCCAAATTTCTTTCTGTTGTTTATTTCTAAATAGTTTGATCAGAACTGTTTTCTCAATACTTCTATATATGCTGAGATAGTTTTATGGCATAATATGTGGTCTATACTAGAAAATATTCTATATATTCTTGAAAGCAATGCATATTTTGTGGTTTTGAGTACAGTATTCTAAAACCATCAGTTAGGTCAACTTGGTTGATACTGTTTTGTTTTTTTGTTTTGTTTTTTTTAAGTCTCTTTACCCTCATTTGTCCTCTGTATAGTTGGTATGATCAATTTTTGAAGGTGAGGTATTGGAACCACCAACCAAAGTTTTGATATGCTCATTTATTCTGTCATTTCTGTTGGTTTTTACTTCATGTATTTTGGAACTGTATTGACATATGTCAGGAGATCCATGCACGGTGCTGCCCAGGCAAATGCTCTCTACACAAAAATGAACTGAATCTAGAGATTTGTGGGATACCACTAGGTTTACCAATTTATGAAAAATAGGAGGCTTGGGAAGAGAGGAGCAAGAGAGAGAGGAAGGACAAATCATAGCCCAAAAATTATCCAATCAATTATGGAAAACATTAATCAATAGAACCTATAAGCTTAATGACTCCCAGGTACAATAAACACAGAGATCCTTATCTAGATGGTATAGTCAAACCTTGGAAAGCCAAAATACACAGAGAAAATGTTTGAATCAACAAGAAAATGAGAAAAATGACTCCTCATATGCAGGATACTGGCAATATGGCTGACTCCTGACTTTTCAGAAGAAATAATGGAGGTCAGATGATAGTGTGAGTTATTGCAACAAACAAAAGGCACCAAGAATTCTATACCCAACAAAGCTAGCCTTAGAGAATAAAGGTGAAATAAAGACATTCCCTGATAAGCAAAAAATAAGATTTCAGTTAGCAGACTTGCCTTACAGAAAAATATTAAAGTCATCCAGCTGAAAGAATATGACATTGACAGTATCTCAAATCCACAGGAAGAAATAAAAAGCACTTGAAAGAGTAAATATAAAAGAATGATAGATAGATGATAGATAAATAAATAGATAAACATAAAAGCAGAAGTAAATGAGGTAGCAAATTTTGAAACAATAGAACTAAGAAATAAATAAGCTAATTTCTTGGGAAAAATAGAAAATTTCTTGCCAACTAGAAGACAGAAATAACAAATATACCAAATAAAAAAAGACAAAGGGAAATTATCACAACAGAGTACATTTTTTAAAACAGTATTTTGTACATTTCTTTATAAATGACTCCAAAGCCTAAATGGATCATATTTAGGAAAATACAGCTTCACAAAACTGACTCTAATGCAGATAGAAAGTCTAAGCAGAACAATAGCTCATGGCTATAAGAGAAAGTCATGCACTGTCACCATCCCAGCAACAAAGCAGCAACGATGAAAATGAAAGATGGGAGGAGAGTTTATGGTGCATTTAGCAGTATGTGCATTCCCAGAATCACATTCCTTGAAATTATCTCCTCTATTGGAAGCAAACTGGTAGCCAAAGGAGCAGACATAGCTAGAACAAAAATACCTTCGGTTGGATGAAATACTTACTACAAACAGAAATGTTTATAGGAAGACAAGATTCTTCAGAATTCTCTCCTAATTCTTATAAAAAGAGACCAACCTGGTTACAAGGATGATTCCATGTGATAAAAAAGTGCTTGGAATCAGTTAAGACTTGCTAAATGCTAAAGGAAATTTGTTCAGAAGTAAGTAATAGCACAACTAAAGGACAGAACCCAGAAATGGCCAGCAATGGACTGTTAGAAAAGAAATCTACCAAGAATTGAGAATTTAGAAAAAAAAAATAAAGAACTTGAATCAGCTACCTGATAAAAACATGCTCAAGGTTTTCTTTTTTCTTTTTTTTACACTGTTTCAGTGTGTTTTTATTAGTTATCAATATCAATAATCAGTTTAACAACTTGTTTTTATTACTCATCAATATTATGAGTATTTCCCACATACATAGATTTATACACCATTTCGGTGACTACACAGTGTCCCCTTCTACAGCAGCATCATAATTCAGTTAATAACTCTCTTCGTACCAAACATTTAGATTATTTTATATATTTTGGAAGGTAAACAATACTACACCAGTTGGCACTGGCCTCCTTTCCATTCCAGAACCCTGTTCCTTCCTTCTCTTGCCACAGGGCCTTTTCATGTGCTATTCCTTCTGTCTAGAACACTCTTAGTCATCCATTCTCAATCCACTTCCATCTGATTAACTCTCCTCATCTAAATACCCCTCCTTAGGGAAGCCTTCCCTGGCTTTCAGACTTGGTCAACTCTCCCCTACACACACCCACTACTACTCCTTTGGCACATTTTCCACATTTCCACAATGACCTTTATATATATGATTATTTAATTCATGTCCATCTCCCCCCTAGACTGTGCATGCCAAGAGGACAGGCAGGAGGATGGGCGCCGAGCATGGGCAGCAGCCGCAGTCCGGAGACCGCAGAGGCCGTGGTTCTGGTGATAAAGTCCAAAAAGCATAGCCGGCGCAAGGAAACCTACTCAATGTATATCTACAAGGTGCTAAAGCAGGTGCACCCTGACATCGGCATCTTTTCCAAGGCCATGAGCATCATGAACTCGTTTGTGAACAATGTGTTTGAACGGCTGGCTGGCGAGGCTGCCCGGCTGGCCCAGTACTCGGGCTGGACCACACTGACATCCTGAGAGGTCCAGACGGCGGAGCGTCGGTTGCTGCCTGGGGAGCTGGCCAAGCATGCCATATCTGAGGGCACCAAGGCCGTCACCACAAACACCAGCTCCAAGTGACCCAGGGCCTTCCATCAATAGAGAGTGAGCTGCTCCCAAAACAAACAAACAACAAAAAAAAAAAAAACTATCTTGTTCATCTCAGCCTTCCTCATTCCTGAAATCACAGGCATTCAAAAATATTTGTGGCATAAATGAGTAAATGTATATGTCTGAAATATCTCTTAAGTCTCTATTTTTTTCTTTTCTTTTTTTTTTTGGTTAATAGAATTTTGTTTTGTTTTGTTTTGCATTTTCTTTTTGTTCTTTTTTATTTATTTTTATTTTTTATTGGAGTTCAATTTGCCAACATATAGCATAACACCCAGTGCTCATCCCATCAAGTGCCCCCCTCAGTGCCCGTCACCCAGTCACCCCCCCCCCGCCTACCTCCCCTTCCACCACCCCTAGTTCGTTTCCCAGAGTTAGGAGTCTCTCATGTTCTTTCTCCCTCTCTGATATTTCCCACTCATTTTCTCTCCCTTCCCCTTTATTCCCTTTCACTATTTTTTATATTCCCCAAATGAATGAGACCATATAATGTTTGTCCTTCTCTGATTGACTTATTATGCTGAGTGAAGTGCTCAAGGTTTTCAACAAGAAAAGACAGAGCTAGCCTAGGACCCCTGAGAGTAAAGGATATTTTGCATTTCAGGCAGATAGGGGATGGTATACCACATGTGGTTTTAGATTCAGAAGTCAGGGTAAATTGAAAAATAACTCCGGCAGGAATGAGGCTTTTGTCAAACCCTTAAAAGAGAAAGGAAGAGAAATAGAGAATCTTTGAGAAATTCATTACTAATTGTTGAAAATACTACCAGTTTTGGGATTAGACTTATCTGGTCACTTTCTAGTTTTGCCACATTACCGAATCTCTCTAAAGATAGTTTCCTAGTCTGTAAAATGCAATCAGTAATATCTGGCTCCCAGAGGTTTTATTTGGTCCAGAAAATGTATGTGATTGCCTAACAAAATCCCCAGAATAGAAATTTGATTCAAAAAAAAAAAATTGACTCAATAGTCAATAATGACGTTAGTAGCAGTACTATTAGTTAACTATTTTGAGAGCTAAATCTTAATGAGTGGTTACTATATACGAGGCATTGTTATACCACTTAACACTTTAACTCAGTCGCCATTCACAACTCTGTCAGATACACACTTTTATCGGCACAAATCAGTGATAGTACAATCGAGGCATGAGACAGTCCACTCACTTGCCTAAGATGATAGTTAAAAGAGGCAGAACCGGTGTTCAGATCCAAGAAGTTTCCTTCTAGAAGTTTCCAGATTAATTGGTAACCTGTGGCAATAGTGGTTATTAAAGAATGTTGTAGATGAAAAACTAAGCCTGATTCAGAAAGAATGCAAAGGAATAGCATGTATAGACCCAAAAGAACAATTGTTTCTGAATTGCCCAGAAAAGTTGAGCTTAGCTGAGTAATACTCCGTGAGGGGGAAGAAAGACTCCATCTCTGCAGGACTCAGGACTATGGGTGTGGGCAGACACAGTGACATCAGAGGCAAACCACCCACAGGCTGACGAGAGCTAGAAGAAGACATGCTCCTCCTACCCTGCCCTGAGGATCAGGCTCCTCTGGGCACTAAGCTTTTTGTTTCCTGGCAGCAGATAAGATCATGGCACATTAGGAATAATCATAAACTGGGATTTCTAGGCTCTAGCACCAGGCTTTTTTTTTCATGGCCAAAATTTTGGCGGCCTTGGTGGACACTGCTTATAACTTGTGTATCCTTCTCCCACTAGTCACTTGGATATTAGAGTGATCCAGAATCTAGATATAAAACAGAATGCAGTGGGGGTGGAATGTCTTTAGGACTTTGTTCATAACAGAATGTTCCGGTATGACCAAGTCCCAACATTGGGGTGACAGCTGATCCACTGCTCACTTGTTGCTGGCAGTATTGAAGATGATCCCCTGATGCACAGTGTCTCCTGGAAGAAGAAGGAGGGTTTCTTCAGGCTCTAGAGACATCTTCATGCTTCTTTGCTAGCAGCTTATCTACAGAAATCTACAGCCACACCCTCAGGGGGCCTAGAATTTGAGGGGGGAAAATCTTCCTAGAAAGAATGTTAAATAGCAAAAAGCCACATCTACGACATTTGAACTTCAGTTCATCTGTGGTGACTCACATCTCACAATCTCCCAAGAATGCTCCCTCCCCCCAACCAAGCAAGTGGTGTTGAGAGCAGTTACTAGACCACTCATAGGGATCAGTAGCTACAAGGGGGTGCATACTGTATGTCTGCACCCAGTTCTGCCTGGAGGAAGCTCCAGTTAAGAGGAGATCGTACACCAGATCCGAATCACCTCAGAGCAAGTTCTAGGCACCCACCAGATGTTCCTGTGTGTATACACTTAGTTGCCCCATTCCCTCCACCATACCGCTCACTCCCTTATGAGGCAGCCCACAGAGAGAGAAGGGGCACAGGCATTATATGAAAACCATGCCGAGATTAATGAGCAGAAGCTCATGGAAATGAATAACATAAAGCTGGCTGAAGATTAGAGGGCTTTTATGGTAAAATCTCAAGTTGGGTAGAAGGGTGAAATGGGAAAGAGTTTCCAGAGAAGTGTTTGGAGGGAAGCCTCAAGGGTCCATGCAACAATCCTCAACGTACCATAAGAGTCTAGCAAAAATGCAAAAGACACAAACCCACCACATTACTAAGGATATATCATATAAAGGAGATTAGAGTTCATAGGGGTAAAAAGTGCTCATTCCTTAAAAGAACATCATAAACAATCATGTGACCGAGACAAATGAATCCAGCCACATTCTGTTCAGTCTAAGAGACTTTGGATTCTTTTCTGAAGCAGTGAGGAAGGAGGGTGTGGTCTCTGGCCAGGAAGCAAATGAAGAGCGTTGGCCTCAGAGACTAAATTCATCACAGCGCTGGACAGCATTCTTCATCTGACGCTGCCATGAGCAACAGGTTGCTCTGCTGTGTTGTCATTTGTCTTGTCAAAGTAGGTGAGTCCCGGGCACCTGCCACTAGGCTTCCAGGGCTCCAACTAGAGGAGTTTCTTCAGGATGGTAGCATCAGACCCCTCTCCCGGGGCTCTGTCTTTATTTGACCCCCCCCCCCTTTTTTTATGCCACAGATCTCAAGGATGCTCTGGTCACACAGTTCCCAAGACATAGGATCTTGGGGACAGGAAAGGAATTAACCCTACAGTGCTTGCAGGATATGAATCATGTTTCAATGTTCTGGTATTGCCAAGACCCAGGATTTGGGCTACAGCTGATCTACTACTCAACTGGTACCAACAACTTTGAAAAAGGAGATGCCCCTGAGGGGTATGATGTCTCTCGAAACGAGCTGAACTCTTTTCCCCTGACCCTGGTCTCTGCCAGCACCAACCAGACATCTGTGTACCTCTGTGCCAGTAGTTAGCCACAGCACTGCACAGCCACATCCTCTCTGCACAAGAAAGGAGCCAACCAAGGAGTGAAGGAACACTGCCCTCAAGATTCCTGACCCATATTAGGAGTTTTCTCACAAAAACTGAACCGAAGCCCTGCCTTGACTGTAATATTCCTTACTTCTTTTTTCCCCTCCAAGACATTTTTCCTGTTGTAATCCAAGTCTTTACCTCTGGCTGATGATATTGTGCTAGACTAGAGAGCATTAACCTAAAGTGTCCTATTTCCTATGGTAAACTTCAATTTTCAGATACAGATGCAGGGAAAATTTTGATAAAACTGAATTCTGATCAAGTAAAGAACAAAATCCTCAGATTAACAAAGATCCTTCAAAGATTCTACGATGGTGTCTCTCGATGACTGATGGAGTCACACAGGAAATTCAGTAGGACAGAGGGGCTTCCTCAGATGTGGAATCCCGAGCATGAGTAACAGAGGGTCAAGACAAGTTTTCAGACAACCCATGGGCTCAAGATTACCGAGAAGGAGGGAAAAGTTAGTGGAGGGGAGGTGGGTTGGTAATAAGACAAAAGAAATGTGTTTTTTCACAGGGATTATTAGGGAGCAGAATCACACCTGGGTAGATGCAAGTGTAATTTTTAAAATCAAAACCTATGGTGCTGAGTAGACAGAGATGCAACAGGGTCACTGTGTAGGTCCCCAAAGGAAAATGTTGGGTGATAACCAGCTGTATTTATGTTCTGTTGCTGCATAACAAATGGTGCAAATTAGGCAGGTTACAACAACACTGATTTATTATCCCACAGTGCTGCATGTCGGAAGACCAGGGTGTTGGGTCTCTATTTAAGGTCTGCTGAGACCACGGTGTCATCAGGCTGTAATTTCTTCTGGAGCCCGCTCCTCTCCCCATTCATTCTTATTATCAGCCGAATTCAGTTACTTGTGGTGGTAGGAGTGAGTATGGCGATCACCTGTTTCCTTGCCTGTGGTCACTAGGGGTTGCCCACAGTTCCTTGCAGTCTCCCTTGTTCTCTCCACCTTCAGAGACAGAAATGCACATCAAATCCTGCTGATGGCCTGAAAGCTTTGTGGCCTCCCCTTCTGCTACCAGCTGGAGAAAACTGTGCCTTGGACACTCATGTGATTAGGTTTGCATAGGCTCATGTGGATAATATCCCTTTTTCCAAACAATGTAACTCAATCACAGGAGCGAGGTTTTATTATATTTACCGGTACCTCCTACACTCAAAAGGGGAGGGGATTAACCACAGGCAAGGGGCACTGCAGGTTGTTCTTAGAATCTTGTCTACCACACCAAAGGAGAACAAATGCCAAGATTATCGGGACAAGAAATGCAGAGAATTAGATGCAATCAAATACATTGAATTAGAATTCAAAACTACTTGAGAGAGATTTCTGAGTCCTGGACACAATAGATCAAGTTTTCCTCCCACTGTTTTATCAAGGACACAGTATAAAAGTAGAGTGGCCTGGAGTTTGGTAAAAGGAGCAAAGGGAAATTATACAAAGGAAAGATAAAGAGGAAAGATCTAGCTCCTACTGGAAGGACACCAAAGCCTCAGGGTAAGAAACCAAATTGTTTTACTCCGTGGGTTGAGGAAAAGGATGAGAAATGAGACCAGAACAGCTGCCAGGGAAAGGGATGGAATGAGGGTTGAGAGAATTTTTTAGAAGAGAATAAAATTGTTTGGCAAAGGAAATGCAATCTACAATGAGCTTTGTTCCTATGAATTTTGAGGTAACATAGACGTAACTTTTCAGTTGATTGATTATTTGGGGAGCACAATCCTTTGAAATTCCAATGAGTCAGAAGACTAGCAACCTCAAGGCAAGACCTTGGGGAAAACAACAAATATCAGGATCCAATTAACAAGACAATATCTAGTGTGATTTTAGTTTGTTTTTTTTTTTTATCAGCCAATTTGTGAAAGTTTCCTGGAGAAATTGGGGATCATCTGAATACTCATCAGTGTCTTGGGTGGCAAGCTGTCTTTCTCATGAATTGACCTACCCCTTCCATGATTAGACAATAGAACTCTCTTTGGGGTAGCCTAAGTATTAATGAGTTAAGCAGGACTGATCTTAGAGAGAAAAGGTACTTTCTGAGATGGCATCAGTCTCCTGTCTTTCTCTACAAGCTGGCTGCTGTCTGCCATCCCAAGATTGGGGTTTGGAGCACAAGAACCTTACTTCATAATAAATGAATCCTAGATCCATCCTCTTCACCCTGATTCCTAATTTGAACTTAAGTCCATTCAGGAGACCAACTGAACACCTCCCCCTGGAGTTTGGATATATGTCATCTTGGCCCTGAAAGCTATTCTCTGGTTTCCTGGTTTGGTGAATTGAAGTATGAGTCATTTACTTGCATGAGATTGAAGCTGTGCTACATTTCTCTTCCTCCTTTACCCCGGACACCCACTCTTTCTCCAAGAGCTTTGATTTCTAACTCCCACATAACTTTTCTTTTCATCCATTCTCTCAGTGCAACACTGTCACGTTTATGCTCTTATCAGCTCCACAGGTAAGTTTAGTAGCCTCTTTATCCATGTCTCAGGCTCCAGCCTCCCCCAACTAATGAAGCATCAGCATCCCAGTACCAAGTGCAACCTTCCTGATTGCAAAACTCTGGCCATGTCACTCCCTTCCCCTTCGTCTTTCCGTGGCCCTCTGTGGTCTAACAGATATAAAATCTAAACTGATTATCATGCAAAGAAGCATATGATGATTCCTTTAGTATTTGGAAAGGAAAGAAATTAAATCCCTTGCCAAAAAGACATCTTTGTATTAGAATGTCAAGTTCTCATGAGAGTCTGGGATAAAGAGCTCTTTATTTTCCTTCTTGAGTTACAGATCCCTTTCTCCATTAAGTCCATCACAGTCGGGCACTGGGGAGGACGGACCCGTGAGCTGGACGTAGCTGGAATGGGCCAGTGCTTCAGACTCTTCAGGCCTTCTCAGAGGAGGAGGAAACCAAATGACCTGACCAGATCCAGCCTCCAACAAACAAAGTAATTGCCCCTCTGTCTCCAAATGCTTACCAGCATTTAAAGCATGTGTATACTCTGCTCCCAAGCTTGATACAGGCCAGCAGAGCCCTGCGGATGGTGGTGAGTTTGGGAAGAGACATAAGTAAACTATCCAGGACAGAGGTGTCTGGTGGTGGACAAACTTCCTGCATATATAAGGTAAAATGACAACCCTACTAGAAAATCCCACCATGCCTTCTAGCACTCACGTTCTCGCACGCTCTACTCTAGCAACGTTGAACTCTAGCGCATAATATTTCCCTTGAATGGCCCATCTGACAAACTCATTTTGTTCTTCAAAATATTACTTGAAATAGCACTATCTAAAATGTGCTCTGTTTTCCCAAGATCGTGGGCTCCTTCCTCTAGTACTCCCACTACACCTTCCACAATTCTTCCTTTCTGCAGATGCCAAATTAAAGTGATTACAAAATCTTTATGGTAAGAAGATATGTGTTTCCAGCATTCCTTTCCCAGAATCTTCCTTCGTACGTGGCACACAAGTTCAATGATCAATATGAAAAATCATCAGCGTCTTGGAGACAGGCACGTCATCTTTTTTGTTCATGTATTTCCATAGTCTAAAACAGCACCTGCCACATACTTGATATTCATTATATGTCCATTAAAGGAAACGATAGAATGGCTCAGCAATGTCTAAGAGGACTGGGCCCTGAGCTTGCCTCCTCTCCTCCCTCTAAAAATTATATTTCTTACATTTCAACAGTTCCCAGTCTTACCTTCCTTTTCTAGCTAAGGGTTCCTAATAAGCCAAGTAATGCCCCACCCCAAATATTCATTTGCTAATCCTCAGAATCTGTGAATATATTGCCTTACAACATGGTAAAAGAGAATCAAGTTTGTAGATACAGTTAAGTTTGCTAATCAGTTGACGTTGAGACAGACGGGGAGATTGTTCTGGATTATCCGGGTGGGCCCAATTAAACACATGGGTCCTTACAGAGTGATGTGGGAAGAATGCCACCTGCTGTGGCTCTCTTCAAAGATAGAAGAAGGGGCCCCAGACAGACCGGAGGTGGCCTCCAGGACTTGGAAAAGGCAAAGAAACAGATTCTCCCCAGAGCCTCCAGAAGAGCACATGGCCCTGCCACACCTTGATTTCAACCCAATGAGACTCGTGTCAAACCTCTAACCTACAGCAAGATAATAAATTTGTGTTCTTTTAAGCCACTAGGTTTGCAATCCTGTGTTACAACAGCAGTAGAAAACTAACATGGGGCCCTACTTCTGAGCCCCTGAAAGAAGGCTGCTGCTGAAGAAAACCACTCTGGGAGAAGCTGAAGAGGCAAAGGGATATTAAGGACAGGAGTTTGAATCAGATGATGCCATTTTTAAAGGCGGATGCTACCAGTTTCTGCTCTTGGCATGCTCCATTTCTGCAAATGCCTCCTCTGCACAGGCTTTGGATCAGAATGTTCCAGCAGGTGTTACTGCCAGCCTCTGAGGGCCTATTCTCTTGGGAAGAATTTTGCCTTTGGTGGGACCATCCGTGGCTGGCGCAGTGCACCCCGTGGCCTCTGCTAAGTGGCGCAGAACCAGCGAGGTGCGGTGGCTGAGGCCGGCAGGGAGGATGTCACTTTCCAAATGGCAGGAAAGTAGAATTTGTTGTCTTTGTGCATATCCACAGAAGCCCATACATTTTAAAGCTTCCATTCCCCTGCAAGATGACCACACAAACGCACTCAAGCATGCAGAAGGAAAAAGAGGGAGAGAGAGAGAGAGAGAGAGAGAGAGAAAGGAGAAGAATGGTCTCCCCTTGACCCTTGAACAGTCCAGCAGGAACCTGATACCTGAGTCCCTCTGCACCAGCGGTTTATCAATGCAGCCACATCCTCTGCACATAGATGGCGAACGCAAGAGGCACAGAGCCTCTGCCTGCATGGCCTGACCCCCACCCACAAGACGGCCCAGATGCCCATCACCACCCAGTTATTAGCCTTTCCTTCACTTTTCCCCCATCTGAATCACTTTTTTTAAAACATTTTATTTATTTATTTATTCACAGAGACACAGAGAGAGAGAGAGGCAGAGACACAGGTAGAGGGAGAAGCAGGCTCCATGCAGGGAGCCTGACGTGGGGCTCGATCCCAGGTCTCCAGGATCACAAACCCAGCCAATGGTGGCACTAAACTGCTGGGCCACCGGGGCTGCCCCTGAATCGCTTTCTTACCACATCTCGCTATGACTTTATAGTCTCGGTGATTGCACGCTAGAACAAGTTAACACATACTCAATGGCTTGAAATAACACAAATTTATTATCTTACAGTTCTGGAGATCAGAAGTCCAATACCGGTCTCATTCAGCTAAAATCAATGTTTTGTCGGGGCTCTATGTTTCTTTCTGAAAGCTCTAGAAAAGAATCAAATGCCCTTACCTTATGACCTGCTTCCTCTACCTTCACAACCAGCGATGTTCCATTTCCCAGACCCTGTTCCATACCCAGGTCTCCCTCCAAACACAGCCGGGAAAGGTTCCCTTCTTTTAAAGACCCGTGTGATTAGACTGGGCTTCCCTAGATCAAGGCCAGCTGATTAGTAACCTTAATTGTATCCAGCACCTTGGTTCCCTTTTTAATTGAATCCAAACACTCACAGTTTGTGGAGATTAAAATGTAAACAGCAGGGGCACCTGGGTGGCTCAGCAGTTAAGTGTCTGCCTTCAGCCCAGGGCGTGATCCCGTGATCCAGGGGTTGGGGATGAATCCCACATCAGACTCCCTGCAGGGAGCCTGCTTCTCCCTCTGTCTATGTCTCTGCCTCTCTCTGTGTGTCTCTCATGAATAAATAAAATCTTTAAAATATAATGTGAACATCTTCAGGGCATCTGGGTGGCTCAGTGGGTTAAGTAACTAACTCTTGATTTTGGGTCAGGTCATGATCTCAGTGACCTGGGATTGAGCTCCCTGCTGAGTGGCGAGTCTGCTTCTCCCTCTTCTCTCTGTGATCTCTCTCATTCTTGCTCTCTTGCTCTCTCAAATAAATAAATAAATAAATAAATAAATAAATAAATAAATAAATAATCTTTTAAAAAATAATGAAACGTGAACCTCTTTAAGACCATTTTTTTCTGCCGATTTCAGTAAGATTCCACTAGAGGGCACAAACGCATTCCTTATTATGAATGTTTCATTTCAGATCCTGATAAAGGGGAACATTTGATAAAATTGAACACCGTGTCACCAATTAAAAGAGAACTCACTATATAAAAGTCTCTCATGAGATCTTTCAAAGGTCAATCATATAACATGAAGATATAGAGGGCAGAGCAACTTCCTCACAACTCCAAGGGCCTGAGCATCAGTAAAATAGGATTTGAGGTGTAGTGAACATTCTAGAGTCTATAACTGGGCTCTGGATCAGCCATAGGATACATTTTGCTGTGCACTTAAAGGGCACCTAATGTTCTCCTAAAGGGGTTTTTCAGAAATGGCTCCTTAGTGGAGTAGAGGCAGGCATAGATATTGTTGTCCAGAGACTGTTAGCCCAGTAGGACGGCTGGGAGATGCAACAGATTTGCTAAGTAGTGCCTCCGAGGAGGGAGGCCGAGAGCAGACACCGAAGAAGTCCTGGGAGAGACATGGACAGATGGACAGCACACAACGGAACACATTACGTTAAAGTACAAAAGACGGAGGGAGATGTTTCAGGGCTCCTGGCCATCTCCAGGATTCCCAGACTTAGACGCCTGCCCCACATTGGGGAAAAGTTTCCAAAGTCTTGAAGGTGGTGGCCTGAAGAAGGAGAGATCAGAAGGAAGGTTCTAGGACGGAAGAGTGGGAAGGTGCAGCAATTGGCTCATGATCTAAGGCTATTAGGGACTCAGGTCAACAACATCGCTTTTGATGTAGAGAAACAAAGGAGAGACCAGAGCAGCCTCCCTGTCAATGGGGTGCAGAGGAGGGAAGCAGCCTGTTGAGGAGAGTGAATTTGCTGCTGGGTTGGGGGGAGTTTGGGAATATAAAATCAGGTGCCTCCTGACTCTTGGGTTAATCTAATATGGAGAATGCTTGGGATGAACTATAAATCTTTGAGCTGTAATTATCCACTTCTATGGTGTTGGAAGCACCATAGAACCTGGGAAAATCCACTGGACCGGGGCGTAAATAGAGAGTTGGGTTTAGCTTTGTAGATGCAGGTCAACTGTGAAAGATTTCCAAAGATGAAATTCGGGATGCCAAGCTTTACTAAGTAATAAGGAAATTGTTGGCTTGAAGAGGGTTCTTGAGAATGAAAGCTGCTTGCTTTCCCACAGAGAACACCTGCCCCACAGCAAGAATATGGAAAACTCCCAGGACAACAGAAAAACACCAAGGGCTGACGTGAAGCCAAGCCTGTTCCCTGCCATGCTTTTCCTGAAAGGAACCACACCGGTAGCAACGTAGGAAGAGAAAACACGCCTCCGTAGGGCAGAGTTGCTGTCCTGAGAGCAGGTGCGCCTCACTGGCCGGGAATGGGGAAGGTCAGAGATGCGCCCCCAGCATGAAGGGGATTGCAAGCAGGAAAGCCATCTCTGAGGTGTGAGTGCTGCCCCCAAACTGGGATGAGGACCCACCTCTTGCCTGGAGATGACAATGATTTGGCAAAATAGAGAAGGACTCCGTGAAGCCCTGGCTGTGGTTGGAAGCAATTGGGGGGGGGGGCAGTCTCTGCTCTCTCCTCCTCCTCCATCCCCCACTCCCACCCCAGCCAAGAATATTCTGGCTACAACAAAGCACAAAACAAACTTGAAGGTATCCAAGAGGGAAAACACTGTGCAATCCCCACAAACGTCACCCCAACGCAGGAAGGACACAGTGACCCAGAAAAGGGAGCAGTATGTCGCAGCTGGACTGCAGAAGAGACGCCCTGATGCCCCCCAGCCACGGCCGGGATTCCCCCAGGACTCTCAGCACCCGGGGGCACAGCTGTGCTGCTGCGTGGAGCAGCAGGTGGAGACCAGAAAGCCAGAAAGAGGTTGCATGCCCGCAGCAGACGAAGAAACCACGTTGGCTGGTAAAAATGTGAGGTGACTGAAGTTAGCAGCTGTCATCCCTGCCTGCTTCAGAGAAAAGAGGAGAAAGAAGAAAGATATAGCAAACCCCAACCTTGAGGAAAGCAGCCACCAGCTCCCGCAACTACGGGGTGTGTAGTCGCCTAACGAGGATAGAGCCCTGCGCCGAACAGTGTGATCTGGGTACAGACCCGTGAACTAATCCACGCTGGGGGCCTGACCCCAGCCTCTGACGAGCCTCTTGGAAAAGGCAGCAGCTAAAAAACCCATGCCGGTGGAGAAGCAAGGGTAGGAATATGCTTGGACTTGCCTCTGCAGGGTGGACGTGAGGCGTCTAAAATACCAAAGTGCAATTGTGACGACAGTGGAAGTTTCATGCTCTCGCAGTTCTAAGTGATAAATGTGCTCTATCAGTTTTCATCATAAAGATTCAGAATACACAGATACCCTCCAAGTTTGACAAGAGTGTCCTGCTAGGACACTGTCCAGGGCACCGCACCGAGCAGCCTCAAAGGAGAGCGAGGCTAATAAATGTTGGTGACCGCAAGCCTCGCCAGCCCACAGCGGCCACCACCAGTCGCTTGTGTTTCCCTTCAGCCCCGTGAGAAAGGGAAGTGGCTTCGCTCCCGAAAATGAGGGCCAAGTAGCTGCAAAGAGGGAGATGCCACAGAAGCCGACTGGAGCCCCCGGGGCTGGAGGACACCCATGGCTTTCGGGCTGCTGGGCTGGGTGGTGCTGTGTCTCCTGGGAGCAGGTGAGTTTCAGGACACCTGGGCAAGGTGGCTGCACCTTGCAGGTCTCATCTCCAGACACTATCTAGAGGTCTTCTCGTCTGACTCTAGCTGTTTCCTTCCCTCGCAGGCCCCATGGAAGCTGGAGTGACCCAGATCCCGAGACACCTCATCGCAGGGACCGGGAGGCAGATGACACTGCTTTGTTCTCAGGATGTGAACCGCGACGCTATGTACTGGTACCGACAAGACCCAGGGCTGGGTCTAAAGCTGATCTACTCTTCAAGGAACGTTCAGTTTACTGAAGAGGGAGATGTCCCTGATGGGTACTGGGTCTCTCGGAAAGAGAAGAGTAATTTCCCCCTGGCCCCAACCCTGGAGTCGGCAGGCACCAACCACACCTCGCGGTACCTCTGCGCCAGCAGTTTAGCCATAGCGCTGCTCAGCCAGATGCTCGCTGCACAGAAAGGGCACCTGGAGAACAAGGAGGCACCTTCCTGGGTAGCCCCACCCCAACCACAAGGAGAACTCCCTCCACCATCCGCCCCATAGTTGTCCTTCCCCGGCTCCCCAGCTCCGCAGATGCTGTCAGGGCAGCTCCCCTGCAGGGTGCTGCTCTCCTGGGGCCTCTCACCACTAAGGTGCTTGTCCAAGTCGAGGTAGGACACGCTGGCCGTGGTAGGTCTACTGCCAGGGGCAAGGGACTCTCTTCCTAGAACAGGATAGAACAGGATTGCACACTGTGATCCTGTCTCCCTACTACTACTACTACTACTACTATCACCCCCAGTACTCCTTACTGGGCTTCACTGTTGCCCAAACCAAACGCCGCATTTTCAGTCCAATCACTCCACAAAACCTTGTCCCATATTCCACGTCCTATTCCCGGTTGCTTGCCCCGGGGGAAGAGCACGCTCTGAGTTATTCACAAAATCTGACGTCCCTCATTCTTCCTCATCTCAGCAAACGGTCCCGCCCTCTGGCCAAATGTCCAAGCTAGGAACGGAGGGGTCATCCCCGCCATCTCTCAGAGACACCTAGTCCCGCATCTCCTACCCTGCGTACGTGCAGATGTTACATCCCTTGCAATTTTTACTAATGTTTCTAACCTCAATGACAACGCTGTGGCCCAGCCAACGTCTCTCACCTGGATTCCTTAACCGCCTTCCACGTAGTCGCCCCCACTGCCAGTATAAAGTATAAGCTCAAGACTTTACAAGCTCCTCCTTGACGAGGTCTTTGTGTACCTACCTGCCTTCTTGACATGAATGTCCTCTTTCCCTCGGTGACCACAACTACCACGTATGCCCTCTGCTGACTCACTGCTGGGTGTTCACCACCAACGTTCACTCTCCCTAGAGCGCCCTTCCTCTCCCTACCTACCCGGTCACCTGACTGATCGCTCCTCTGGATGCTAATTCGGAAGTCACATCCTCCTCCAGAAAGATTTCCTTGAATCCCTGGCTGGGTCAGTTCCTCTGCTCTGCCCTCTTATGACAGCCTGAACTTCTATCCTGATGGCAGTCAACACACTCAACTGTTTATTGTTTAACATTTACAGTCATAAATATCCAGGTTAAAGAGAATAAGGATCATGCCTCTATTGCTTACTTATCTCCGTACTTACCAGAGTCCCTGAAGGCAGTAGTAGTGTTAAATGAGTGAGTGAATCAGTCTTGTCTCGAGATCCTCTTTCCAACACCCCTCTGACTAGTCCAGTATCTAGGTGCCCCGCGAAGTCCTCTCCTACACATAGTCTGGGGAGATTCCAGGGTTTTTCATATGTGTATCCAAGCAAATCAGATCGTGTGCTCTAATAGAGATCTGTTCTACTCCAGCCCCTGAGCTCTATGTCCCCCGATGACGATGTTGCCTCCCTGGGTACCACTGTTCCCATGGGATCTTTTTCTTTTTCGGGTGGGCCCTAAAATACCTGCCAGCCACTGCTGATGCTTCAGCTCTGTACCTTTCATTTGCCATGCAGTACAATACAGCAGACTTCATTGTTGCTGCCCACGGGCTCCAACATCCCTCCCAGGTGGAGCCTCCTGCAGAGTGGCACCTCTATTAATGAAGCACAAGAAGAAAAATTTGCTCAAGCTTTTCCTTTTCTTTCTTTGTGTTGGAAGGGCAAAACTACAGCTCCGCATCTTGATCCCAAATATCTTATCCAGACTTTGGCATGAAGGCTCACTCAATTACATACATTCCTCACCAACCACCAAAATAGTAGTTATATCCTGGGATACGGAAATGCAGAGAACCTCATCCAGGATGCAAAATCCAGCAGGAAACCCAGCTGAACTCCAAATCCACTCATCCCTCCAAGAACTGGCTGTATTACTAGGTCTTCCACCCCGTAGGCCCCTTGCCCTAGTCTCAGGATAAGCTCCCTCTAGGAGGCACCTTATGTTGTCACACACAGGGGCTTCCAGTGGATGTATCTCTCCTTTTTGAAAGATTGGCTCAGATATTTCTGAACTACAAAAATTGTTGCTTCTCACATCTAAGTTGAGTTTCCATTACTACTTTTATCACATCCTCAATATAAATAGAATTATACTAATTAAATCGGAGATGGAAGCGGAGATTATAAAATCAAAGATTGTTCCCCCTGGAATGGGGATCTACCATCTAATGACTTAGTCTTATTTCCTGGAAGTCATCTTGGGTGACCCTGTATCCCATGGGAGCCCATGGGACCATGATGTAGACAGATGCCTTCCTACTTCTGTAGAATCCCACACACCTAGAACCCTCTCACAGGACCTAGAGATGATAGCTACGATGCCCTAATTCTTAACATGGACCTGCTTTAGGCACCAGGTTACCCTGCTCCTTACTCTTATTTCCCAGGGCCAGCAGGGCTCAGGTTCACAGAGAGGCATGTAGCCTCAGCTACTTTATGGGATCTACTCTTGATTACTCACACCTCAACCAAACTCACTCATGCTAAAGAAAGACCTACAAGATTTAGTGAATTTTCAGATTTGGACACTAGTCACAGTTTTTTTTTTAAGTATTAATTTTTAGTTCACCCATTGTCAATGTCCTTGGTACCCTACTCTTTCTATATATACTCTTCCCTTACAAGTGGGCTCACGAGGTATTGTTTCACTAACACCAGAGCTAATGCAGACACCCCACCATGAACTCACCTGCTGTGACATCCTCCTTGGGACAGGTAGTTCATGGGCACAGGTCTATGTCCTTGAACTTGGTTTCTCAGACCGCTGCATTAAGGCTTTGTCTGGTGGTTTATACACTGGCATCCCTCTGAAGCTCTTTCCCTTGACTTACCGTCTCACTTTATCCACAAGTGTCCATGGATGCTAGTGTCGCTGAAATCTCAGTGTCAGAAGAAAGGGTGACTGTGTTGTGGCCAAAACATATACCATGACCAGTATGTGCTGATTCAGACAAGAGCCAAGAATGAGGCTACAGTTACTGTTTTACTCAATGCCAAGAACCCCAACAGATGAGAAGTCCCTAAGAGATATGGTGTGTTTTTAAATAAGCCTAAGCATTCCTCCCAGCCTTCAGACGTCCAGCCCTTTTCAGACACTTCTGCCAGCAGTGAACCCACAGCGCTGCATGGCCACTTCCTCTCTGCACTGAAAGGGTTGTCACAGGGGGGAAGGTGGCACCCACAGGAGACAGTGGTAGGGACAGCACCTATGAATGAGATGCCAGAGTCCTCACTTCCCTTCGGGACTTGCATGGGGCTTGCGCAGCCCAGGCCACCTAAGAGAACTCACCTGGTACCAGTTCAGCTTCCCTGGCACCACCTGCAAGAGGGAGCGTCGTTCCACCCAGATGCACTGGTCTTCGGGGACTGTCTCCAGGGCCATGGGCCACCAGCCCTGGTCAGTGCCCTATTCCCCATCACCCACGTTCCATCTAACACTTGCACTCCACCTCTAGACAAATTGCCTTTCTAATTTCAGGTGTTGGCTTCTGGATTTCATTACTCTGGGGCTCAACTTCTTATTCAGCATTATTTTCATGTCGGCTGTCACTGGCTCTGATCATGCTGTCATTTGCTCTGCCAAGCCCACCCAGCAAACTCATTCTTACTCTCCCGATCTCATGATTGCTTCGCATGATCCCCAGAATGTCTCTGGTCATTTCCCGAACACACACCCTTTCTATACATCTCAGTTCAGTTCTGCAACAGCTTCACCGTGTCATTGTTATTGTTTGCTATAAATCTCCCTTTGGGGCCGTCTGTTCTTTGATTTAGGGTAATGTGTCCTCCCATGTTTGCATCACCAAACCATCATTATGCCTGGTCCACTGGCTCCGGAATGGAATGGACGCTCTGCGAGGCACAGAGCGTGCGTCCATGGTCTGTGACTGCATTCCCGGTGCCCAGCACATAGCAAGTGTTCAAGAAATATCAATGCAAGGATTCTAAGATGCCTTCAAGAATTTTAATCAGGATTTGTCTTCCTTATCTCTCTTTCCTAGCTATGAGCCCTTTTGATAAGCAGCTTAAATAACAAATCTTATGAATAAATTCTCTAAGAGACAAGCTCTTCGCTTGGATAATGCTATTATTGAACACAGAGGCTACCAATTTCTGCTCTGGACATGCCCCATTTCTGTTACACGCTCACCATCACAGCTGCAGGGACAAACTTTTCCAGACACAGACTCTAAAAGCAGCTCCAGGCCCAGAGAGGAGCGGTGGTGACTGGGGATGGGGGAGGCGAGTTCTCCTGGGGAGAGGTCCCTCATGTGAACTGCTCAGAGTGGGCAAGCGGGCCCTCTGCCACCAGATTGCTCTTCGGAGGACAAGAAGAAGACTGTGACCAAGGGATCCTGTAGAAGTAAGCTTCAAAAATAAAAAAAATAAAAAATAAAAAAAATAAAAAAGAAGTAAGCTTCACCTGAGTATCTGTTAGTTTGGAATTCCTCTTCATCATAACAAATAACAGAAAGGGCCATAATCCTCTGCCTCCTACCCATGGCGTATCACGCCTACCTGGCTGCCAGAACAAATAATATTTTAGCATCCCCTCCTGTATGCAACGATATTATTTTCATTAATAGTCATGTACGTAATTACAAATCTCCGTGTGCACCAAAATCACGCACTGAGGGTTTGTTTTGGGCTTTTTTTTTTTTTTTTTTGCTGTTTTGTGAGCACGTGTGTGACAAGGACGCTTTGCATGAGGTCCCTTTTAACAAGTGTTTAAATGTACACTCCAGCTTCCTTAACTTTAGACACAATGTTGTTCAGATGTCATCATCTTGCAAGACTGGAACTTGGTATCTCGTGAACAGCTACTCCCGCTTAACCCTTCCCCAGCCCCTGGCAACTGCCATTCTCTCTGCTTCCAGGTATTTGTCCCTGTGCTAAGTGAACTAAGGCAGTCCCAGAGGGCAGATATTACACAGAAGGAAGGAGTCTTTCATCACCAAAATTGTTTAGAATTTCTGGCACATGGTGATAACACAAACAGAATAACTTTTAATTGGATTTTATTATTATATTTTTATATCAGTATCTATTACTTTTTTCATATTTGACAATTGTCCAAATAGTGTCCTTTGTAACAAAAAAGGAAAACAGATTCTGGTCTATAATCCAATCCAGAATTACATTTTACATTTAGTTGTTATTTCTCTTTACTCTGGAATGCCCCTCCGTCTGTCCTTTGTAATTCAATACTTTTGAAGAGTATAAACCAGTTGCTTTGTAGAGCCTGGTACTTAATGTAATACTATGGTAAAGCATGCTGAAGGTGAAGCATTAGATGAAAATAATTCGTACTTTCCATGTTCCTCTTGATATAACATTTTCAAGCATTTTATTAAGAAAATTGTCAATCATGAAAGCAGAAAGAGTAATACAATGAGCCCTATCGCCCAGATTCAATAATTAACACCTGCCACACTTTCATCTTCCATTCCTCCAGCATTTTTGGTTGATATCTTTTGAGGCAATTTCCCAGACATCATAATATTTTATTCCAGATTTTAGTAAGCTCTAAAAAATAATATTTTTATACAGTCATATTGCCAACCTAACAGAATTATTTGCAATTCCTTCATATTATGCATAGCCAGAATCGTATTTAAACTTCTCCCATTACCTTGAAAATGCCCTTTTAAATCTTTGCTTTTGCATTTGATTGTGATGTCTCATCTTCTCCCCCTCCCTCCTGCTCCCCTCCCCTTCTTCTTTCTCTTCCTCTTCCTTCTTCTTCTCCTCCTCCTCCTCTTCTTCTTCCTTCTTCTTCTTTCTTCTTCTTCTTCTTCTTCTTCTTCTTCTTCTTCTTCTTCTTCTTCTTTCTTCTTCTTTCTTCTTCTTCTTCTTCTTTCTTCTTCTTCTTCTTCTTCTTCTTCTTCTTCTTTCTTCTTTATTCTTCTTCTTTTTCACAGACATTGCACCTCTACTGACTGCACCCCATCATTGGTACCCCACTGTCTCCACTACATCACCAGGGGGAGCCTGCACATGTGGGCACCATCATGTCTCCATTATGTCTCCATTGTGTCTCCACCACCAACACAATGGACAGAAAAGGCAAGTGTTTTATCAAAGGAATGAGCCTATTGCTTATGGGAAGACTCACACCTCGATGTACCTGTATCTATGAAACCAAATCAGTAACAATTAGAACAGAAATACCTACAACTAAATACTTTCAGCACACTAAATGTGTACTTTAGAACAGACAGATAAGAAATGAGGACTGAGGAATTGGTAAAATTTTGCAATATGAGATGCCACCTGGATACGAGGATGTGCTCGGGATGGCACTTAGTATAGGGGCTATTAAGGCATCTGATAAAAATCCCCTAAATGCTAAAGCTAATCATTTCAAAAGCAGAGAACAGCAAAACATGAAGATAGAATTTGAGCCAGAACCCAGAGATAGGCATATTTCTTCTGGTCACTTCTGGTTATGAACTTCACCAGGAATTCAGAGAAAATAAATTGATGGCTAAGTCAGAATTATGTTGGGCTTTGTAGCTTTTCCTTCCTAGTGAGTGAGTAGGATCCGATGCTGCCTGAGTGAGGTCCCTATTACACAAGTACCATGAAGCTTAGAGACAGTAGGAAAGCTGTAGGACCCTTGGTAACGAGCCACAGTTTAATATCCATGGTGGCCTAAAAGGGCATAGCAAGTGTGCTTTCAGTTTTGTTGTTTTGAATTCATTGAAAAACAATTCCTGCAGAAACATTTTGGAAGGCAAATCTAAAAAGACAAAGATTTGGGGCGCCTGGCTTCCTCAGTCAGTCGAATGTCTGACTCTTGGTTTCAGCTCAGGTCATGATCTCAGGGTCATGGGATTGAGCTCTGCATGGGGCTCTGTGCTCAGTGTGGAGTCTGCTTGGGGATTCTCTCTCCCTCTCCCTCTGTCCCTCCCCCTCACTCATCTGCATGCTCTCTCTCAAATAAATCTTTAAAAAAATGTAAGAAAAATAAAAAGATGAAGATTTACCCCAAAACGTTAACATAAGGATGAGTACAAGAAATCATATCAGTGGAGAATTTTAACACACTGTCTGACACAAAATTAGTATTCAGTAAATGACAGTAGTAGTAGTAAGACTTCATGGGTTTAAAGGCTGGATTTATTGAGGTCTGCGATGATATAACCAGTTCATATGTACCAATCTGTTGCGTTCTTACAGTGGTTGGTACTTTTATTAATAGTTGATACTTTTATTAGTCCAATTTTCCATATAAGAGCACTGAGACCCAGAATTTGCCCCTGGTCACAGCCAATTAACAACAGAATTGAATTTCAAACCCAGACAGTGTAGCTTCAAAGCCTGCCTTGTAACCAACACATTACTTGTGGTAATTCTTGTTTTTTAATAAGATTGTATGAAAAACTAAAATTGCTGTGAAGGAAAAATATATGGAGAGGGAGGGAGGGAGGGAGGGAAATAGAGACAGAGGACAGTAATGCTTTCCTAATCGGAATTGGTCAGGAAAAAAAAAAATCCTTGCTGGTGGAGATTCACTTCCTGAGACTCACTAGAAGGACTTTAGGGGACCAGCATTTCAGGCCGTGTGGCCTTACTACCCAGACCTCGCTAGGATACACAGGCAGATTGGAAAGGAAAGAAACCAGCCAGAGTTCGGATGAATCCATGGAGACTTCCTTATGTTCTTGCCCTCCCCGGAGGATGCACTCCTTCCCCAGCAAGGAAGATGCAGGCTCAGCATCATAGACACTTTTGGAAGCCAGTGTTATGGGCTGAAGTATGTTCCCTCAAAATTCATATATTGAAGTCCTAACACCCAGTACTTCAGAATGTGACTGTATTTGTAGATAAGTTCTTTAAAGGGGTAACTAATGTTAAATGAGGTTGTGGGGGTGGCCCTTTCCCAATATGACCAGTGTCCTTATAAGGAGAGGTAATCAGGACACAGACACAGAGAGAGGCAACACTGTGTGAAGGCAGAGGGACGAGGCCAGCTGCGAGCCGAGAAGCAAGGTCGCTGGGAAACCAATCCTGCCAACACCTTGATCTTGGACTTCTAGCCTCCAGAACAGTGAGAAAAGCAGTTTCCATTGGATTAGTCACCCGGTTCGTAGTATATCGGGGCAGCCCTGGAAAAGTAACACAGCTGATCACACAGGCACTAACACACACCCAAATTGCAGACTTGAAGAGACAAAGTGGGTGTTTGGCATACACTACATTGTTTGTGCAAGCAGTCCAGGCAAAATGAACAACACTTACCAGTTACTCAATGGTAGGAACGCTCCTGAAATCCACGTTCCCAGACGCCAGCCTGGGGCCTACATTGCAAGAGCCGGTCCTTCTAAGGGGAGACTCTTCAGGCCTACTGTGTTAGCTGTTTTCTGCACACACACATACACACACAGACACAAAGGCACGCGCACACATGCACACACATGCACACATGCACCTACACTGCCACGTGAGACAGAGATGGCTTTCACTTTGGCAACTCTAAACTCTCTTAAATCTAGAAGACGACTAAGGGATGGTGAGTGTGGGCAGGGACAGTGACATCACAGACAACCAGCCTCCAGCCTGAGCCTGAGAGGAGCCAGTCCTGCCTCAAGTCTGCCATGGGGATCGGGCTCCTCTGTGGTGTGGCCTTTTGTTTCCTGGGAGTAGGTGAGTGTGGGATGTTAGGGGAAAACCCCTGTGCTGTTATTTCCAGGCCCTGATATGAGCCTTTTCTTTCCTTAGGCTTCCTGGCCTCTGGAGTCACATCCTCTGCTCTTCTCTCATAGGCCTTTTGAACTCACAAGTGACTCAAACCCCAAGACATCTCATCAAAAAAGTGGGAGCAAAAGTTTTGTTGAAATGTTCACAGAATATGGACCATGAAAGAATGTTCTGGTATCGACAAGACCCAGGTCTGGGGTTGCGGCTCCTCCACTGGTCATATAATATTGACAGTATGGAGACAGGAGACATCCCTTACGGGTACAGTGTCTCTAGGAAGAAGAAGGATGCCTTCCCCCTGATTCTGGAGTCTGCTCGCATCAACCAGACATCTGTGTACTTCTGCGCCAGCAGTTAGCCACAGTGCTCCACAGCCACATCCTCTCTGCACAAGAAGCACAGAGATCATGGGGAAGTGACCCTAACTCGGGGCTGAGCTGCGTTGGCTCCTATGGCACATTTGTGCCGATTAGAAGAAAGGCAGCCTCTAAAGAGGAACCCAGGCCACAGGCGCACACCTGGGCCAGGGGAGCAATGTTTCTCAGGCCTCATTCACCAGCCCTTTAAAACTCAGGGGGCCGGGGATCCCTGGATGGCGCAGCGGTCTGGCGCCTGCCTTTGGCGTAGGGTGCGATCCTGGAGACCCGGGATCGAGTCCCACGTTGAGCTCCCGGTGCATGGAGCCTGCTTCTCCCTCTGCCTGTGTCTCTGCTTCTCTCTCTCTCTCTCTCTCTCTCTCTCTCTGTATCATAAATAATAATAAAAAAAAAACCTCAGGGGGCCTTCCAAACCCAACCAACCCAACCTTATGTGTCATCCCCAGCCTAAAACCATGAGACCCTCCTCCCAGCTGGAGGAGACATATCTCACATATTCACACCAGAGAGGCCCTGCTCTATGACTGTTCATCGGTCTTTCCTCCCCTTCCTATCCTGCTCCCTACTCTGCTACTTTGCCCCATGTCTTTGGTCTTGACTGATATTTCGCTAGAGGTCATTCACACATTCTAAATCCTTTCTTTAGATAAATTTTAGTATCCGTGTGCTGATTCAAGAGAAAGTTGGTGGAGCTTGGATTCTGTTCATTCAATCGAAAAAGAGAAAAATACTGATAAAAAATAAATCTTTCTGAGGTTCCTAAATGGCCAATACTGTTGTGTTGGAAACTTCTGATCAGAGGAGTACCCTGTGACACAGAAGGTGGTAAGAATGAGTCAGGCCATACCCGTAATCACAATCATCAGGAGAAAGTACCGTTTGTTTAGTTTAGGAATGAGACATACACGATCCTGCCAGGAAATATTAATTGAGCCTATTCTGCTTTGGGAATGCAAAACAAATATAAAGGGTGTTGGAAATCCCAAATGTTGGGGAATTTACCAAAGTATTAATGAGACGAAACAGGCATATAAGAAGTTTTGATTCAGTGCTAATTCTTTATGTTGTAGAATTCAGAGAAAAGAAAAAATCAGTGTGTATTACACTATTCAGGATCAAGTTCACATGAGTGATAGGACTTGAGCTGATTTTAGATCAAAATAAAGGCAAAAAGAACTATCAAAAGAAAGAAATATCCTGCAATGTTTTTGTGAGAGATCCTGCCAGAATGAAAAAGTGAATTTTTTTCTCTGAGAAAAGGCAGGGATCAGAGGTCTCCCAACAGAGGCCAATGCCTAGAACAGAGAAAACACACCTTCACAGAATAGTGTTAAATGACCAGACACATCTACAAACATTTATTTTCAGGGGGCTTTCAGGGTGTCTGGGAGTCCTGTGATGTCCAATAAATTATTTCTTTCCCACCAGGAGCATTGTACTGACTCAGAAGATCAACCTTGAGAGAGGGGAACAGTTACAGGCACTGTGGTTTCACTCCCAGTGCTTTCGGGGACCATCCTCACCGCAACTGAGACCCTTATAGGAAGAGCACCACCCCAGGCCCAGCTGCTGTCTCAACAAGGTGCCACCTGTTTCTTTCTTCTGATGCATCTCATCTCACTAAGGAACTGTCGCCCAAGCAGAGATGTAGAACACATGAATTAAGTGCAGAGACTGAATATCATACATCTCATGAATTACACAAGATGTCTCAAGAGGTTGAAAGGATTGTAGATTGGGGTAGGAGGCTTCAGTTTCGAGATAAATCGAAGTGTTCTAAGGAGAACTCACAAAATACACTCTCAAAAGCACATAAAATGTTAACTAATGTTTACCATAAGAATACAAGGAAGAATGCAGAAAATGTAAACCATGATTTTAGATAAAGAGTCGTCACATTAACGTCCTGAAAAATTCATAGAAGGAAAAATGCTATTTTCCTTCTATGAATCAAAGGTTTAAAATTCTGTGACATGGGTAAATATAACAAATTCTTCTGTATTAAATGAAAATAAAAGCAGGGTTTACTAGGACATGATGGGGAAGAGGAGATGGCTTCTTAAGAAACAGGGGCAATGAAAGAGAAGGAAAAAATGTTTCCTTTTTTCTAGAAAAGAACTGAAATATCAAACAAGGGTGATGCTACAGAAGAAAGCACTTCCCCTTCTTTCTAGACAAGAGTGAGATATCCCGACTAGTTTATCTGAACATACACTTGTGACATACAAGGACTATTTTCTACTCATTACAAATGAAGAACCTAAATTTAAATAATTTGCCCAAAGCCACACAGCTGGTAAACTCAAGTTGAGGTAAACTCAAGTCCAAGGTGGGTAAATATCCTTGCTTCAGCCAAATGGGTCTCGAATCCAACCATTAACGCAAAGATATGATTCACACAGCCAAAGAATTGGACCCCGTATCTCTGTACCAGCGGCATAGCCAGCACCAAAGACACTTTTCATGATATAGCGTAAACTTCCAACACTTCCATCTTGAAATGGAATGATGAAGTGTTAAGGGAAGAAATGGTATCATCCTAGTGATGGACAAGCTGTGTTTGATGAATATAAAACAACCGAAACTAAGGCATATCCTCAATCAATTTCAGAATGAGGTGGATAAAATGATCTTAAAGTGATGCAAGACAAGGAAAAGTGTTAAAAACCAAAACAATGTATAAATGAAGGAACGAGAAACACAATGGTTCACATTTCTCAGCAGCAACACTGAATGCTAGAAAACAACAGTGTAAAAAATAACTATGAAATTCCGACAGAAAATAATTTTCAGCCTGCATTTCTCAACTAACCCAAGCTATCCATAAAAATGTGATTTTTGTTTCTGCCAGGATCTCAAACCTAAATAAATTCTTATTTTATTCTTCCTTAGAAACTTCTTGGATAATGTGTATCAGCAATCTGTGGGAGAAAATCAAAAAGAGAAGAAATCATAGGATTCAGGAACTAGGGAATCCAACTCAGAATAACAACAAAGAAAAGTCCTAGGATAGGAATTGTGCAGTAGAACTGGTTAGCAACCCATCCAGACAGAAGCAGGGAGACTCCAGGGTACATTTTCAAATATTGCCAAAACATAGACTGTGATACACGAAATGAGAAACTCATCCATAACATAATCTAGCATGAGTTAACATGTGCAGAAACCCAGATCCAGTCTGGAGAAGATGACTCCACTAAAAAGAATCTAGATTATTCAGAGGTTTCAGATATAGGTAGCAACTAAACCACAAAGTCTGCTGATTACTAGATAGCCATTTATTTATTTATTTCAAAAGATTTTATTTATTTACTCATGAGAGACACAGAGGGAGAGAGAGAGACAGAGACACAGGCAGATGGAGAAGCAGGCTCTATGGGGGGAGCCCCGATGCGGGACCCGACCCCGGGACCCCAGGAACACTCCCCGAGCTGAAGGCAGATTCTCAAACACTGAGCCACCCAGGTGTCCCACTAGATACCGATTTAAAAGAATGAGGTATGTCTTCTGATGATATGGGAACTCCTGTAAGACTCATCCTCAAATAGCAAATATACTCTCCAGACAAAAAATTTTAAAAGCCTCCCTTAACACACTGAAAAGCAATCAAAAGAAGGCAATATTTACAGGGAAGTCAACACTTGGATGAAAAGTCAGTTTTTGAGGCACCTGGGTGGCTCAGTTGGTTAAGCATCTGCCTTCAGTTCAGGTCATGATCCCTACGTCCTGGGATCAAGCCTTACATGGGGCTCCGGCTTATTGAGGAGTCTGCTTCTCCCTCTCCCTATGCCCCTCCCTTCTGCTCATGTTCTCTCTCTCTCAACTAAATAAAATCTTAAAAAAAGAAACTTCAATTTTGAGGGGCACAGTTGGTTAAGCATTTGAGTTCGTTTCGGCTCAGGTCCTGATCTCAGGATCATGAGATGGAGCTCTGTGCTGGGTTCCACGCTGGGTGGGGAGCCTACTCAAGATTCTCTCTCCTCTCCCTCTGCCCCTCCGCCACACACTCACCTGCACACACTTTCTTTCACTTTCTTTCTTTCTTCTTTCTTTCTTAAATAAATAAATCTTTAGAAAAAAGAAAGAAACTTCGATTTTGAGGTGGAAATGAAGAGCGCAGGAAATGATGAAATGTGGATAGATATTAAAGATTTTTCTTAAATTCTTTGTAATATGTACGATTAGTGAAAGCAAACATTTCAGCATTGTCTTGTGACACATGTAGTGGATACACACAGTAAAAATGACAATAATAATGTAAAAGATGAAGATGAAGAAAACATGCACATTTAGTTGCAAAGTTCTATATTTTAAGTGAATCTTTACCATATTAATTGTAAGTAAGCTGTAAAAAGTTTAAAATGAGTATGATAATTATTAGAGCAATCATTAAAAAAATTAAAGAAGTATACCTAAAATGCCAGTAGTTAACAAATTAAAATAGCATTAATTTTTTTTTCCAAATAATTAAACAGGGCCTGTCTATCCTGGGAATATGTTTGCTCTGACATTCAAAATCAGTCATTGTAATTTACCTTATTAATACATGTATAAAGACTACACAGTTATTATTACAGGTAGAAAAAACACTTAGCAAAATTCCATACCCATTGATGATGGCAACACTCAGAATCGGGAGCAGAATAGAACTTCATCAATTTAATGAAGGACATCTACAAGAAGCCCACAACTAAGAGCATACTTGATAGTAGAAATATTCAACATTTTAGCTCTAAGCTAATAAACAAGTCAATAATTTCACTAACACCACTTGTACTCCACATTACTAAAGGTGCTAGGCAGCACGTTAAGACAAGAAAAAAGATGAAAGGGCTGAAGAGTAAATGATAAAGTAGAACCTTTTAAGAGATGAAATCACCATTTACATTTAAATATCAAAAGAAACCTATAAAATTAATAAGTGAATTTCTTAAGGGCATGTGTTACAATATTAACATGCAAAAATCAATTGCATTTCACATACTATGGCAAACAATTGGATAGTTAAATTTTATTTATTTTTAAAGATTTTGTTTATTTACTCATAAGAGAGAGAGAGAGAGGCAGAGATATAGACAAAGGGAGAAGCAGACTCCCTGTGGGGAGCACAATGTGGGACTCAATCCCAGAACCCTGGGATCACACCCTAAGCCAAAGAAAGGCAGATGCACAACCAGTAAGCCATCCAGGCATCCCAGGATTATTAAATTTTAAAACTTGCATTTAAAAGAATGTAAAAAGCAACCCAAATATTTAAGAAAAAATTTAACAAAAGACATGCAAGACCTGTAAACTGAAAACTAAAAAGCAATACTAAGAAAATGAAAGACAAGTTTACAACACGGAGATATATGTCACGTTCATGAATTGGAAGTCTGACTATTGTTAAAAATGAGTATTCTCCCCAAATGGATCTATAGCTTCAGAAAAATCCTAATTATCTTCTCAACTGGACGTTTTTTAAGAAACTTAAATGCGTATTCTAAAATGCATACGGAAATGCAAAGGTTCTATGAGGAGGCAGGATCTGGTTAAAAGCCTATGTGGGATCTGTCAGGCCTCCCCACGGGCTGCTACCCGAACGGTGGCACACCGTGGTACTCGGTGATGGATGGGGAGGGGTGGATACACGGTGGACACCTGACAGTGGCTCACTTGTGATTCCTTGTGAATGAAGATCCATCCAAAGTGAAGAGCCACATAGCTCCACTGGGGGGCAAACAAAGCTTCTGCAGAAGCTCACCCTCCTACTATAAGAGGGGAACAGAAATGCAGTAGGGAAGGAAGAACCCACTGGGGAAGAAAGAGGCCCTGGAGTTTGCCTTTTTTCAAGGACAGTGAGAGGCTAGCACCTAAAGATGCTGACTTGCCTGCTACTTCTCCTGGGACAAGGTATGAGGCTAATCCCATGGGGAAGTTTGGGGTTAATGTTGATGCCGAGTAGAGGTGCAGAGGGCCTGAGGCCACCCTTTGGAGGATGAGGGAAATGGGTTAGGTGATTAGTGGATTCTGATCCAATAACAGTTGGAAGAACAAAACGGAGGCAGTGCCAAGGGTTCTTTGGGATCCGAAGTGACACTGAAGCTAATGGTAAAAAGACCTTCCTGCCTGGGGACAGGCCTGTCAGCTCTCTCTCGCTCTCTTGCTCTCTCTGAAACTAGGCTCTGTGTTCGGCGCTCTTGTCTCTCAAAAGCCACGCAGGGACATCTGTCAACGTGGGACCTCCGTGACCATCCACTGTGAGGTCGATACCCAAGTCACCTTTATGTTCTGGTACCGTCAGCTCCCAGGACAGAGCTTGATACTGATCGCAACCGCAAACCAGGGTGCAGAGGCCACCTACGAAAGTGGATTTACCAGGGAGAAGTTTCCCATCAGCCGCCGAACCCTAATGTTCTCCACTCTGACTGTGAGCAACCTGAGCCTCGAAGACAGCAGCTCTTACTTCTGCAGCGCTAGAGACACAGCGCCCAGCACAGATCAAAGATCTGAACAAGAACCTCAGTTGGCTCCCTCCCACCCAGCTTCCAGCCTGATAACTCAAGGCCCCAGTCAAGGCAGGTGGAAGGGGAAGACCACAGCTTGAGCTGCTCATTGTGTGCTTGTTGGCGGATCTGGGTGTGAATAGGTCAACTAGCCACAGGGACACAATCTGCAGGATGAACTGCAGGATGAAATACAGGGAAGGTGGCTACCAAGAGGCTGAGGATAAAATTCCTTCCACGACAGTGTTAAGAAGTACTTAGTAGAGACCATCGGATAGTTTGCCTTCCAGTGGCAGGGTCAGAATGAACCTTTAACTATTTTATCTCAAAGCTCTATGTAGCTTGTTTTCCATTAATACAGTCCAGAAGGCTCTTAGTCACCTTGATACCATACAGGTCCATTAGACCAATGGCATCATTCAGGATGTTCTCAGTGAGTAGGAATTAGAAAGCGCTCGCGATGCCTCAGCATGACATATGCACGCCAGACCAATGTAAGATCCGCAGAAGTTCAGAGACCTGCCACATTGATGAGCTCACTGTAATATACGAAATTTTACCAGTAGCCACTCTTCCTCAAGGCTAGGTATCATCTTCTCTGAGAAAATTTCATTTATTATTGCCATCATTTCTCTTTCTTTTAGCTATTTGCATTGCAAAATCAATGCACATTATTGTAAACATTGAAATTGCTCATTTTTTTCTTTTTTTTTTCTTTTTTTTTTCAAGTCCACAATTCATTGTTTATTGTTTGCCGAAAACAATTCCACAGTTTGTCTTCACCAAATTACATCATGATGGATAATGGGCATTTGGGGCTTACAAATCCTTTAAGAATGTACCTGGAGATCACAGTATAACCCAATCCTTAATACAAATAATCTAAGGGCTGTTGTAAGATGATAGGAAAAGCCTGTGAAGTTAATAGAGGTCTGCCATTACAAGCCGTGATTTCTTTTCAGAATTTTATTTACTTGAAAGAGGAGAGACAGCTCGGAGACAGAGAAGCAGGGTGAAGGCAGAGAGAGAATCAGACTCCCTGCTGAACAGGGAGCCCGACATGGGGCCTTGATCCCAGGGCCCTGAGATCATGACTCGAGCCAAAGGCAGATGCTTAACCAACTGAGCCACCCACACACCCCTGAAGTCACTCATTTAAATAAAGTTAGATCATATGATACATATTGTTTTACCATTTATTCTCTCAACCCAAGAATATTTCATAAATACCCTTTCATGTCAAAAAATGTACCCTGCATTAACTTTTATAAGACTATTTCAATATATTGATGACTGTCCTTTATATATCGATTTTTACAATGAAAACCAATGGCAAGGTAAATATCATATGCTAGATGACAAGGTTTAATTTAAAAGCAACGGCGTGTGTACTGATTTATTTCTATTGCAGTCTCGGCAGGGAATAATGGAAGCTCTCCCTGTTCCACCTTTCTACAACTGGCCCTTTTTAGTTAGGTCTCAGCTCAAATACCACCCCCTCCCCCAAAGAGATTTTTCCTGACCACCTTAGCTAACAGAGCATTTGCCAACCTGGCATTCACTCACGCCTATTACCACTTTATCCTATTTTAACAATACCTAACCACCATAGTCTGGTATAAATATATATACTCTATATACACGTCATATATACATCATTTATTGTCTGTTTCCTGTCACTATACCTTCTCACAGATGTGTGAACACATACACACACAAATACACATAACTGCTGTGAAAGCAAGGACACTTTTATCTTCTTCAGTGCTATTTCCTTTCATCTTAAGAAAACTGCAGGAACGCTACAGAAATTCAGCCAGTATTTACTGAGAGTTACAGACTGAATTCGACTCCTTCAAAATTCACACAATCACAGCCCTGAGCCCCACTATTTTAGAATGTGACTGTATTTGGAGATTTGGCCCTTACAGATCTGGCCTTTAAAGAGGCTATTAGAGTGACCCTAATCCAAACTGGCCAGTATCCTTATGAGAAGAGATGAGGACATCCTAAGAGAGACACCAGGGTTATACCCACAGAAGAAAGGCCACATGAGGACACATTGCCAGCCAAGGAGAGAGGCCTCAGGAGAAATCAACTCTGCTGACACCTCGATCTGAGGCCTCTAGCTCTCAGAACTAGGAGAAAGAAGATTTCTGTTGTTTAAGACACCTATGTCGGGATCCCTGGGTGGCGCAGCAGTTTGGCGCCTGCCTTTGGCCCAGGGCGCGATCCTGGAGACCCGGGATCGAATCCCACATCGGGCTCCCGGTGCATGGAGCCTGCTTCTCCCTCTGCCTGTGTCTCTGCCTCTCTCTCTCTCTCTCTCTCTCTGTGTGACTATCATAAAAATAAATAAATAAATAAATAAATAATTAAGACACCTATGTCTATGTTCTTTTGTTATGGTAGCCCCAGCAAACTAATACATTGACTAAATAAATATGACTCAAAAGAAAAGAGGAAAATTTGACAAGCAGTGTGGATTTCCCTGGAGAAAAAGTCTACAAAAGTATTTGAGTTTAGACAATGTAAGCCAACAAGCAAATGAATTGTTCTAATGGGGACAGAACAGATGCTTCAGCTTATGTTTGAATAGAAAGGTGGCCCAACTATCGCCAGCTCCCTCTGCTGCATTCCCACGGCTGGGAAAGGGAGTAGATGCAATGGGTTCTAGAGACCAAAGCCCAGAACGTGCTCAAACCCAGTGGCCCTGAAGTAGATGGTCCTCAAATTGGAACTGTCTTGGTGCCTATGCGGACTAAGCACTCAATGCTGAGCCTTGGAAGCCATTTGGAGATCTTTCTGGACAGTTTGGTCAATAGGAATTGGAGTCACCAGAAAGCTGCCTTCCAAATGGACAACACATTCTAGAGTTTTTATAAGCCAAATGAGTGGAGAGAGCCCAATTGACTGATTGGACTTATTATTGAACTTGGCTTGTGGAGCTCAATCTGGACCTAACACGATTTGGAAAAATAAAAACACATGTTATTTATTAAACTTTGAGTATCATGGAATAATTCACGGCTGCTACAATAATAACAGCCCACATGGGTATTCCTCTTGGACTCTCTCCTGCCTTTCTTCTGCTACTACCTTCCAGAAGATGCTGGAGCGACTTAAGAAGATCTAATAGGCCCAGGAGGGATGGAATGTGAACAGAATGACCATTACATTACGGGAAACAGTCTTTCGTTAGTGTTAAAACCTCAATTGCTAGACACTGCCCACTTACCCCTCAAGCCTGAGCAATAGATAAAATATGTAAATGGAACTTTGCTCTGGGCCTGAAACTCACTTGTCTTCTTTGGCTTCAAGGTGGGGAGCAGGATGAAGGGGCGAGAAAGGACAGATACCCCCATTTAGCTAACTAGCATGGCCCGTCTACACATCCACACCTCTGTCTCAATGTTTCTGTTTCTCGGGACCACACAAAACCCCCTTCACTATTCAGAGTCAGCAACTCCCAGGCTCCAATATTCAAGAAAGCAGTTCTTACTGGACAAGAAGAAATTGTGCCATGGAGAAAATATGTAGTTTAGAAAAAAATAATGCAGGAAAGGAGCTGGAAGGTTGGAGAGAAGACAGCTCAGAATTTGACAACATGGTTGAAGAGCGGTGAAGGATATGGGGCCCAAGGCGGAGCTGACTATGAGTGGAGGAAAAATACCTGAGTCAGGGGGAAGGGTTTAGGAAGTAAGTGTTAAAAAAAAAAAAAAAGCTGGAATTTGGAATCTGACCAAAATCTACTTTTCAGACCACTGAGAGGTCCAACAGCCCCCAGTGTGTAGCAACACAATGGGAAATGAACTACCCCAAGTAGGGGAAGGCCCAGGTGTCAACTCCATATTGATCGTCTAGGTGACCCAGCAGAAGTCACTTAACTTCTGAGCTTTAGGTTGCTTGTTTCACGTTTTTATTTATATTCTAGTTAGTTAACATATAGGGTAATATTGGTTTCAGGAGTAGAGTTTAGTGATTCATCACTTCCATATAACTCCTAGTATTCATTATAAGTGCCCGAGAAAGTGGTGTCTGCTGCTTCCCTCATGGGGCTGCCCTCGGGATCAAACAAGAAGACAGGAAGCTGAATGGTCTCTGGTAGAGCGGGCAGGCTCTAGAGTCAACTGTCATGCTAAAATCCCATCTCTACAACCTACTGGCTGTGTGACCTTAAGCAAGCTACTCCTTCTCTACAAGGCTTGTTTTGTCATCTATGAAATGGGTAACCTCATAATTGGTTGTTATAATAAAGTGAAAAAAGGTCCATAAAAGACTTAGACAATGTCTGATATAGTCAGCACGAAGAAACTATTCACTATTATAATTAAAAACCAGGAATGGGGCACCTGGGTGGTTCAGTGATTTAAGCGACTGACTCTTGATTTTGGCTCAGGTCATGATCTGAGTCCTGGGATCAAGCCCCGCATCTGGCTCTGTGCTCAGTGGGGAGTCTGCTCCCTCTCCCTCTGCCCCTTCACACACTCTCTCTCTTTCTCTCAAATAAATAAATCAATCTTTAAAAAAAAAAAACCTCAGTGATTTGATAGGCTAATTATTAACTATGAACTATGAGAATGCCTTAGAGAAATAGACAGGGAAGGAAGATTATAAGAGTTGCATAGACTTAACCAAACCAAAGTTGGGCAAAGCTGGACCTGAATCCACCCTACCTGTCTGAGCCTAAAGCATGAGGTCATAGTCTCACTTAGAGCTATTTTCTCTGCCTATAAAGTGATTCCTTCTACATTCAACAAAAACTGACTTCATACTATGTTGTGGGTATAATAGTTTATTCTGAGGAGGAGCACAAAATATCAGGAAAAAGCTAGTCTTAAGGCTTTAGACACAGAAATTCCTTGAGCTCTTGGGTGTTCCCTTTTAGACAGAGTCAAGACCACAAACATTTTCTCCCTATTCCTCAATTTCCTGTCTTCTCCCAAGGGGCACCTCCTGGTAGGATACCTGTCCAGGAACACTGTATGTGTTCTTCTCC